CACGACACTAAATAATTGTTAACTAGAATTATGTCCAAAAATGACTATTTAGGTACTCTCACCCGTACTCTATAGCCTAGGACGCACCCACAATTTTGATTTCCCTTTCACATGGGCTCCCCCCTACTGTGGCACAAAATGCCTAGGGACGTACTTCTTGTGGGGGGTGCGGTGGCGAAAACTCTAATTATTATTGTTTAAGGTAAGAGGTGATTTATCGCCATCCCCTTAAGCAGCAGAGTAAAGCGATGAAAGAGTTATAGGAGAGTCGATGGTATCCGTCGGTCTGTCAGTCCGTCACCACGCTGGACCCTGCCACCCATAAATTTAAAAATTATATCCAATTTATGAGTCATTTAAAATCTTTTCGTATTGCAAGCATACAATTTTAGAGCTCGCTTAAATCACTAGGACTCTTAACATTTCTTGTGGGGTGGCCGAGTCTACTTGGATTCAGCCCCTCCACTGATTCGAATTACTTTTTTAGAATTACGGGCTATTTAAGAGCTTTCATTTACAAGTAATTGCAATTTTTGTGAGTAAATAGCTCGACTCCTCTATAATCGCGTCAATAAACACATAAAACATCTTCGGAGGTCCTCAAGAACAACTCCGATTTTGTTGATTTTTTTAAAAAATTGTTCCTTTTTTATTATTATTTATAGTCAGAAGCTTTTCGGGAGCGGGGGAGGAGGGGGGGGGGGATAATTATTTCTATTGTTTAAACAATCCTGCTTATGTAGGCAATTTTTTAAGAATTAGAAAATAGTGCTATTTGTTTGGGTTTGGTCTCTCCGTCCGTTCGTCCGTCTGTCCTTCCCTCCGTCCGTTCGTTCGCTCGCAATTTTCAACTACCTACTTTTAGGGGAATTGTCCTAGAGTTCTGGAATACTTACACAAAACGTGGCCATATGAGATAGTGTATGGTTGGTTGCCTAAGTGGCAGTAAGCTTCCGATTATCATTACTTTAGTCGGCGATCGTACATCAACCATGTCGATATACCATGCACGAACCTGGTGAACTCAGGGCGGGTTTCGGCCAAGAGGAGGCAACCTAAATTCTAAGGGTCAGAGGGCCGAAGGGGATGCGTACTCTTATGCCCCAAGAAAACACAGCAAACTACTCCAGGAGCACCTGATACTAGAGAACCAAAAAAATTCTTAGGGGCAGCGTGCCGGGAGCTAATAAAGATGAGACTTTAACCAGGAGGCTCTAGGCAACCTGACCTCCCATTTACTGAAGTGGGAGCATCCTGGGAGTTCTAAGCAACCAGGTAAGGCTCCTACAGAGGCTGCACTCAAGACTGGGACCTTGAAAAAGGCAAAAACTGAACCGGAAAGGATACCAGAGCCATTTATTGAAGCAGCTACAGTTTCCGAATTGCTTTTGTCCATGACAACTTAGAGGGAACGCTGTCGGAAGAGGAGAGAGGGTGAATCAAAGCCTCGATCTCTTGACAGAGTCGACGCTTTGTCCATTGAGACGGTTTTGCCCAAATTTACGGAATGTCGCCACGAGGGGAGCGCTGCTGATCACATGCGCATACAAGTTAGCGGTGGACGGTGTGGTCAGAGCTATCGTGGGGGTGGGGGGGGGGGCCAATTTTGATTCTTCAACCCAGAAGAACATACAGATACCTATCAAGGTGCAGCACAAAGCTTGCCTTAGAATTACAAGGGCAATCTAAACCTCCCTGACGGTAGCTGTGGAGACTATATGAACTGACCGCCACTGTACCCTGTCTGGAAGCTCTATATCTCTTCGGGAAAAATAGGGCAGCCCGGATCACATCCCTTCTTGCGAAAGAGAGATCGGATCTAAGGGTTTCCTCCCAGATCCGCTCGTGCCCAAAGCTGACTCAATTCTTTCATTCCCCCCAATCATTATGGAAGCTTTCGGAACCTCTTACACCTAATGAGCTAAGTGTGAAGGCTCTAGTTCGACAAGTGCCTCCATGACCAAAAGCCACGAACTTAAGATGGACAGCTGATCATGGGCGCGGCCATGATGTGCACGTTTTACGAGTAGTTATTTTCTAGGGGAATTTTCCTAGTGCTCAAGTTTTGAGACTATTGCAGCCTTGGAAAATGACATGCGTCACAGTAATTTATTTAGAAAACGTGAGGTTAATGCTTGTTTATTAGTTGATTTGAATTTCGCGCCAAGTGTGTGCACATTATGGCTGCCCCCATGTAGATGTCATCTGTCAATTCAGGATTAGCAGTCCATCTTAATTTATAAGTTCGTGCCAAAAGCCCTTCTACATCCCATAGGTGTGCAGTGTCCTTTTTCCTTATCGCTCAATCCAGGTCAGGCCTGAGTCTATGATAAACTCCTAAATATTTCACTTACTTGGTCAGATCCAGGTGACAGACAGTGAGGCTCTAGTAGGGTCGTGGGGCCGGTTCTGGACCAGTTCAAGGTCGCTCGCCACCTGGCGGTGACCTTGGGAAGTAGGCCAAGGCCAGGCCAGATTTGTTAGATTTCTTCAGCTCTCGAGGATATACCCTAAAGCCAGGGAGGCTCTAGTAAAGTAGTGGGGCCGGTTCTGGACCAGTTCATGGTCGCTCGCCACCGGGTGGTGACCTTGGGAAGTAGGCCGAAGCCAGACCAGATTTGTTAGATTTCTTCAGCTTTCGAGGATATACCCTAAAGCCAGGGAGGCTCCAGTAGGGTCGTGGGGCCGGTTTTGGGTCAATTCAAGGTCTCTCGCCACCTAGTGGTGACCTTGGGAAGTAGGCCAATGCCACGTGCCACGTGGAGGTGACATCGGAAAGTAAGTTCAAGGTCACTCGCCGATCTCAGAGATCCCTCGATGTCCACCCGAGCAAATACTTTCCAGTCGATTGGTGTAGCTCCTTTTGGTGGGTCTGTAGTTAGTTAGTCCTCTATGATCCTCGTTTACATCTTCGAATTTGGTCCTTAAATACTCTGCGAACGTCCTTACGAATCTTTTCAAGGTCTAACGTCCACCGAAGTGTCAAGATTTTCTCTGGGGAGGCGCTTCAAGATGGCGGCCATGTCATCCGGGAGCTCGTATAACACAGCCACAGCCATCACCTTGGTTACCCCAGGACGTGCCTTTGAGGTACAGAACAGAGCCCAGTGTCCATGTTGTTTGGCAGAGAACTCCGGTTACCATGCGATTTGAAATTTGGTACGAGACCCGACCTAAAAAAAAAACCGTGGGGAGCGAGTACGACTGCTGGTGGTTATCAACCCCCAATTACCACGAAGAAAACCAGCTGTAGTACCTAACATTTACCAACGTCCCGAGGTTGCCTACAAGAGCTGGGACGATTTCGTCTTGTGCTTTATAAAGCTGGCAATTCCGAAGATAAATTGGACGGGAGCATCGTGATATGCTGGGGGCGGTATTCCGAGACACCGGGGAGGAAACCCCTCGGAGAATTCCGCAACCGTTCCGTAAGACGGTGGGTTGCTTTTTATTCAAAAGTACCGCCATTAAAGTCGCGTTGTAGAACAAGGTTTGCCTAGAACTAAAGTCACTAAATACAGAAAGTATCGCAATCATCCGCCATTTTTGGGCAAATTTGCTGCCAACTTAAAAAAATTTACAAATAAAATCTGAATAGCTGTCATTTTTTATAACCTAACTTCATAGTACTGTCATGTTTTATAAAAATATATACAGATATCTCCAAACAGGTGGAACAATCCCTAACATTAAAGTTACTAGAATCTGGTAACTTCCGCCATTTTTGGGAAAAAATCATGCGTTCTCTCTCTAACACACGAGCCCAATGGATTGCGGTACTTTCTATATTTCGTGACTTTACCTAGAACTGTATCTCCGCTCCATCTGTTGTCCATGTTCCGAGACGCAACAGTGTCAAGAGGGGGAGGGCGAGTATTCCAGACACCGGGGCGCCATCAAGCGGCATCAAGTCGATGAAACGACCTTGTAATATGATAGGCCTTCTAGACTGTTCGAGAATGTAAGTAATTTTTTTAGAAACAGCCTGTTTGCATAAGCAATTTTAATGGAAGTTCTAACATTGATGCCGGAGTGATTATTAGTGAAGTTCAATGTTGTATGATATTAATTAACTGCTCATTAACAATTAAATGTAAATAAATAAATCACGTAATTAAATTACCTAACGAATATCTCTAGTCAGAGACAAACCAAGGTTGTACTAGAAATATTCCCCCGGCCAAAGGGCGGAAGACCTGGTGAGTAGAAATTATTTATAGTTTATACCTTGGTTTATAACGGGCGATTAAAAATGAGTTGCTGTCGAGTCGCCTTTGGAAGTTTAAGTTACGTACCATTTCCCATATAAACAAAAATTCCAAAGGTCACTCGACAGCAACTCATTTTTGATCGCATGGTGCCCATTGCTCAATTAACAGAGAACTGTCGAACGAAAAGTTCCCTCGATTTAGGCCCTCTGCGTAGAGGGTGCGGAGGGAAGAAGGCATATTTCTTCTCTGGTCCTTAAGGGAGTGACGATACAACAGACATCAAGGGTGCAGTACACGGCAAAAGTAGGATACCACCCCCATACCCCCACACGAAAGAATGAATTCTGCAGTCCAAATTCCGCACACCGCAGTACGCCTCTGCGTATTGCCACAAGTTTTAAATTTTGAATCGCGAAGGCGGACTCGATTGTCTCCTTTTGTTTAATAAAAGTGGTCGATTTTTCACCGAAGAAAGGGATAGGGAAAATTGGGGGTACCGGTACGCCGACATACATCAACCCTGTACGTTACATGTACGCGTATTAGCTACTTGGAAAGTGAGTAGCAATTTTTGGGCACGGCTCTGGTTAACAATTGAAAGTCAATAGGGCGCTTTGCCCTCTTGATTTGCAATAAAGGCGCTTTCGTGAATAAATTTTTCCAATTCCAAGAAGCGATAATAAATAATTCTTTCCAAAGCGAAGGCAGCGCGCTCGCGAGAAATCGGTCGTTGAAAGTAAGGCGATTATAAACGAGGAAGTCCGGCATCTCTTGCTCGTTTGTAGTTGGCGTGGCCGCCGTCTTTTTCATCCAGCAACGGTTTTTTGGTCAATTTCGGTGTCAATTCTCTGTTATAATTGAATTAATCGATTGCATTTGATTTTTATGGTTCGCGTGTGTGTTTACCACTATTTGGGATATACGTAGGGCGCATCTGGAGATCAGTGGCGTTATTCGGGGAACCGAAGATAAGCCTAGCCAAGCGCCATGATGGCCGCCTGCAGAACACGTAAGTACAGTTTTAATTACAAAATATTGGTAGCTAGAGGACTTAATTGAGTATTGTGCTTGTTGTAAATTTGCCTTAAAAAGCGTCCCTTGCCATATACGCCATTGCAGATAGCGTGATCGAAATCGTACGATATCGATGACGTCACGATTCAGTGCGGAGGCCATTAGCAAAAATCCAACTGCCACGTAGTCCATGGCTTATAATAATCGGTGCATTTTAGAAAATTGGTCGTTACTATCCTTGCAATTCAGTAAAAAAGTCTGAATTAACCAGCTTTCGTGACTACGTCATAATTCTAGGTATCCCCATGTACCCAATCCCAATGGCGTAATTTTGGGGCCGTGCGTCGACAAAATTCAAGGATTTTGGGCCTTTTTGGTTATTTCTTTGTCGGCGATTTCAAGCAAAACCCAATGGCCGTTTAATTAGCGTGATATTGCGAGCAGCTATAAACCTTTTATCGCAGGTGTGCAAAGCAGATAAAACGAAGCATGCACATGTTTTTAATTACAGAAAAGTGGCCTGTCTAAAATTGCCAATTTCAACGCTTTTGCGTCCCTGCATTTTTCTAACCTCTTTCCGCCCGAGGCCCTTTTTAGGAATCGTTATTCCACAAAATTTTGAATGTACGTTTTTCTCGGCCTGCCTGATTTTTAAAGTTTCGAATGATTTCATCTGTTTAAATACTATGCGATCAAAAAGGAGTTGCTGTCGAGTCACCTTTGGAATTTTTGTTTACTAATTTGAACATCCAAAGGCGACTCGACAGCAACCCATTTTCAATTTTGCATGGAAACAAAATAACCAACGTGTAACGGGGATCTAGAAAAGCGATAGTTTTTAACTTTTGCACCATTCGCTTTTGTGTATTTGTTACTATCATTTGTGATCTGCGTAGGTCGCATATGGAGATCGACAACATCGTTCGGGGAGCCGAAGATAAGCCAAGCTAAGCGCCATCATTACGGTCGTCAAGATACGTGAGTACGCTTTTAATTACTAAATATAAGCTAGGGAATTGTGGCATACTCGTTAGGTGTAGTTTTGTAAATGTCTAGGTATAAAAAGCGTCTCTTGCTAAGGTCGCGTGATTGTACAATATCAGTGACGTCATCATTTGATCCAGATGTCATTAGCAGTGCCACGTAGGCCATGGTTTATAATGCGCATTTTACAAAAAAAAACATTTGCTAATTATCCATTGGAATACCGCGGAGTAAGCTAACGATTTTCAGGTTCCGTGGCTATCCCGAATATTAATTTATTGTTCGTGCTTAGTCCAACCCAGTGGCGTAACATGAATATGTCTCCTTTGCGCGAACGATTGTATCTTTTATTAAATGTATGGGAAGTACCTATAAGGCTTTCACATTTTCGTAATTATAAATACAGGGGGGTCTCTCAAATGGACTTCTACAATTTACTTACGTTTTCTTTTAATTCAAATTCACAATATACTTTAAACAAAGTCAACAATATGGTGCAAAGATAAGGTGTTGCACCCCCACCACTCTCCCTTGGCCCGTTTTGAAGTACCATTCGATCAAAAATGAGTCACTGGCGAGTCACCTTTGGAATTTTTGTTTACATGGGAACTTCCAAAGGCGACTCGACAGCAACTCATTTTTGATCACCCTTTATTAACATGCGTTGATTGTATTCAACGTCTCCTTTTCTGGTAATCCTGATTGGTCAAACACAAGCGCCACTTGAAACGATTAGTTTTCAATCTTGTTGAGCCCTTTATACTAAATAATTTGTGTTTCGAATAAATTTGAGTCAAAATTTCTTTAATGGGAACAATCAACAACAATTTAAAATAAAAAAAAAACCGTTGTAAACAATTTGTCTACATGAAATGTGGATTATTACCACTTGCTCATGAACCCTTTGTTTTACTGCACTTCTGAAATTTTGCAAAAATGGTTTTTGTACACAGGGTGCTTAACATTTCCAAGTACAAATCGATTTTTGTAATAAAATATAGTTACATTCAAAATGTGAAAGTTGACTCTCATACCACATTTATGGAGCACCCTGTACATACAAAAATATTTTTGCGTTATGCACATTAGACCAGCATGCAATTTTACACTTAACTTTTCTTGCAGCGGAATCTACCACACAAATATGCGCTGTCCTGACTGTCACTTTGATAATTTTTCTCATCTCGGCAATTTATGAACCGCATTCAATGAAATTCAAACTGGGCCCGAGATCGTACTAATTGGACACCCTGTATATGGTAAGTTTAAATGTCCGCCAACAATATTTTTGAAGTGTATTTCTGTGCCCCACACAATACACAATAGCACAATAGCTTACAGGGTGTTTTTTGTAGGTCCAAAGTTACAAAACCTCATATTAAAAATCTTACTTTTTTTAATTGGAACACCCTATATATTTTGTGTTATCTTTTAGCTCCTCCAAAAACCTTCATCTTTTGATAATCATGATAGTTTTCGAAATATCTTGGTTTTCCTAGTTTTTTATATTTTAATCTTAAAGAAGTTCTAATTTACATAATAACGAGAATGAATGAAAAATAAATGAAACTAATGTCACTGACTGGATAACATTAGGCGTTAAATTAAATTTGTTTTAGTCAAATCTTTTTACTTATTCTCCAGTTTTTGGACTTAAAATAAGTTGTTTATAAAATAAATTAATCGATATGGTTGTCGTTTTGGACGAAATAGATAAAATTTGCCTTTTTTTTTAATAGCCACCTCTTTATTATGTAAAAGCATATAACTTATTTAAGATTAGAATATAAAAATCGGTAAAACCAAGATATTTCAAAAACTATAAGTGATAGGTATAGTACATGATTATCCAAGATTGAAGGTTTTTGGAGAAGCTTAAATATCACACAAAAATATACAGGGCGTTCCATTTAAAAACAGTGAGATTTTTTAATATGAAGTTTTCTAACTTTGGACCTACAAGAAACCACCCTGTATAAATCTATATATAATATATAATAACAAGTCGTACAATTACACGTAGAATTAAAAAATGCATTCAAATACAGGGGGTTTCATTAAAAAAAATGTTCCATTTCGGCACCCTACTTTGTGAGCGCACTCTGTATAGTTCCAAATATTATTAAAATGTGGAGAATATTCAACCAATCTTATCTAAGTTACTCTGCGCAATCGTTGACTCATCCTGTACGACAGTAGAAAAGAGTCACAATACGCCATTTTGGATGTTGTGACGCCACAAGGTCATGACCTTCGGATTTCCCCGATTACGTCACAAATTCATCGTGTTTAGGATAAATTTGAGTCAAAAATTCTTTAATAGATTGCATCAAAATGAAATAATTTGTGTATAAGAAATGTGGATTATTACCACTTGCTCATGAAACATTTGATTTATTGCACTTCTCTTTCCAAATTTGTTCTATAGTTTATGCTGCCGGGTCCTTCAAATCTTTAATTTTCAAGCGCTTTAGAACCAAAAGTTCCACATATGTAAACTACCTATCAGTTCAGTGATTTTTTGAAAAAATATTACATTTTTTGTATACAGGGTGCTTAGCATTTCCAAGTACAAATCGATTTTTGTATTAAAATATAGTTAAATTTAAAATCTCAAAGTTGAATCTTATACCACATTTATGGAACACCCTATGCATACAAACATATTTTTGCGTTATGCACATTAGACCAACATGCAATTTTACACTTAACTTCTTTTGCAGCATCACCTGTTACTGATGGTGGAGTATAAACTGGCTAACAGAATACTGATCTACCACACAAATATGCGCTGCTTCACACGAGGACTTTGATAATTTTTCTCATCTCGGCAGTTTATGAACCGCATTGAATGAAATTCAAACTGGATCCGAGACCGTAGTAATTGGACACCCTGTATATGGTAAGTTTAAATGTCCGCCAACAATATTTTTGAAAATGTATTTCTGTGCCCCTTATTTTCGAGCGCATAAAAAAATAAACGCTGTGCTGGGCTTGGAAAAATTATTTCTGTGTGCAATAGCATGAATTTACTGTTATCGATACATCATTTTTTGAGATCGCATGCAAAATAAATTTTGCCCCGTCACAAACGCTCAAAAGTACTCACCACTTTGTTGTAAGAATCCAAATTTTTGTCTGAAACCGCCTGTACAGGGTGAGTCCACGATTGCGCGGAGTAACCTAATGCCTTGAAAATAAGATTTTTCGATAGAGTGCTTTATATTTTGATCTGGTTGAATATTCCTCACATTTTAAAAATATTTTGAAATATACAGGGTGCGCTCACAAAGTAGGGCGCCACAATGGTACATTTTATTTAAATGGAACCCCCTGTATTTGAAAGCATTTTTTAATTGTACGACTTGTTATTATATATTATATACAGGGTGTTTTTTTGTAGACCCAAATTTACAAAACTTCATATTAAAAATCTCACTTTTTTTTAATTGGAAGGACACCCTGTATATGGTAAGTTTAAATGCCCGTCAACAATGTTTCTGAAAATGTATTTTTGTGTCCCTTATTAAATGCTTGGGAACATTTATACAATGGCATAAATTGACACCACTCAAATAACACTAATCTAGTTATCGCAGAATTCAAGAAGATAAGATTTTTCGATTTTGTATAATGATCTCGTTGAATATTCTCCACATTTTAAAAATATTTGGAATTATACAGGGTGCGCTCACAAAGTACGGCGCCAAAATGGTAGATTTTTTTAAGTGGAACTCCATATATTTGAATGCACATTTTTAATTCTACGTGTACGACTTTTTATTATATGGTTAATATACATAAAGACATGATTATCAAAGATTGAAGGTTTTTGGAGGAGCTTAAAGACCACACAAAAATATACAGGGTGTACCATTTACAAAAGTGAGATTTTTTAACTACAAAAAAACTGTCAACTGTCTTATTTATAGAGATATTTGTTTGAAATTTTAACCACAGATGCTTCTAGTAAAGACAAGCGTGTCGCATGCTGTAAAAATCAGACGTACGTATAGAGACATTTTTCTTCTCGTGGTAAAGGCAAACATATCGCATGTTTTAAACATTTCTCCCATGAGTGGGTTTTCCCAAGGTCATGTGACGTACCATGGTTTTGCCACGACCGTTGCCCAGTGATCTCCTATGGTCGTGGCCTTTATCTTTCTAGACCAAGGTTATGATCTTGAGCTTTGAACCAAGATAGTTGCCTTGGAATTTCCCTGGTTACGTCACAAGGTTGTAGGTTAGGGATTTCGTAACGTACCTAAGGCGTGACCTTATTGTAATTTGTGAGATGAATGGCAAATTATGCATTTCAAAATGTTAAAAAGAGGAGCAAAAGGCAAGCAAGCAAAAAAAAAACTTTACTTACATATAAGGTTTTCCTAGTTCTAGTTTTTTCAAGTTTCCACACTGATAAAATAAGCTGATAAAACTGCTAATAATAATAATAATAATACGTTTACGGTTTCGCCGGAACAGCCGCAAACTAACTGAAATTAGGAAATTAGAAAGCAAGTTAACATTGAAAATCAAATGACCTTGTTTTATGGCCATGGCCGTGAAATTTCCCCGACGAAAAAAGTCGATGCCATGGTGAAGCGGATTTCTGGTTTACGTTACTAAGAAGTGGCCTTGCTTACGGGTTAAAGTCGTGGCCTTGTTACAGTACCCAGCAGAATTTCGGATTTTATTAATCACAAAATTGGAAAAAATTCTCTACGACCTTGCAACATAAAACAAGGTTACTCTTTAATTCGGGGAAATCCATTCACCATCACTCTAAAGGTCATACGGGGGGTCCATCCCCACTGCACATTAGACCAGCACACAATCTTATACTTTATTTTTTTTCAGAATCACACTGTTGCGAGAGGTCATCCGATATCGTAGATACTAATTGGACACCCTGTATATGGTAAGTTTTAAATGCATGACGCCTGTCAACAATATTCCCGAAAATTTATACATAAAGGACATTCAAAGAATTTTTTTTTCTTTAATCGAATTTAATAAAATGAAAAAACTCAAAAGTAGAAGCCGATCAGATTAATCCGAATTTAGTGTTGATTAGATCCATTTAAAATATCGATGGGTGGATCAACATCCGGTAAAAAATAATTAAAAGCAATTTAGCTCCTCATATACCCTTTTGGGACTGTCTTTTGTTTTTACCATTTTGTTTGTAATCGGCCATATTGGGTTGAAATAATTAACCTGGTCCTTAAACCGCTTAGTCGACCATTTTTGACAATATTTGTTTGCAGATCGTGAGGTGGATATAGATGAGCGACGAGGGAGTGAGGCTGTGCATGGTTTCGTCTCTACTTCGATAATTGGTTCACTCCTGGCAAGTCCGAAACAATAAGGCTATGGGTAAATTGTTGCTTTTTCATTAGAATATGTTTATTATAATTATATGTAACAAGAAAAGAATGTATTTGCCCTCAATTGTGTTAATGTAGCATCCTTAATACGCATTTGCACAAAAATCCATGGAAATTGCATTTTGTTATCAACGACGTTGTGTTACGGTAAACCGTCTCACACAATCTGATAAATTTAATCTAGTTTTGAAAGAGTGCTAATTTATCGTTTATTGTAAAACTGCACTCTTTCTCGTTAGTAAAGCATAAACTTACCTCGTATTTAGTAACTTATCAAGAAGAAAATACTTTTTGAGTAGTTGCAACTTGCCGTTTTAAATTTTAAACACTTTCTGTCGATTTTAATTAATTAATTTGATCAAATTAATATTTTTCTTTTTTTTTCCTTTTTTTTAACATAGATTTGTTTCATTGTTCCAGATTCCAGAAGGGCAGCCTTATAAAGGTAGGATTTTTCCTTTTCTGCATGGACTAATTGCTTTTCTATTATGTGGGTCTAGCAGTGGGGGACGGGGGGAGGGAATAGTGCGTATCAACGACAGTTGATCTTCCGATTGTGTAATTGTGAGTTGTGATCTGGCATTTTGGTGACGTAAATTTGACTTTTCACAACGATCTTTTTCGGGGCATCAATCCGTTTACTTCATATTCAAGTATGACTATGATTTCATAGCCATGCCGGTTTTATGCAGTAAACGGATTTGCTTTGCGAATCGGATTATGAAAAATTATTGGAGTCAAGTTTCCCGTTTCCAATTCTGCTGGCTTTTACATCTCACTTTATTACATTGAAGATCCTCTGAATGACTGAAGGTGAGTAATTAAGTCATTATGTACATGTTCGTTTATTAGTTAGTAACAATCATTGGCGTTTTTGAGATGAAAGATAAATTTACATTATAATTAGAGAGAGACGAAAGATGATTTGTACTGTACTAAACGGACACGCTGTACACAATTAGTTCTAAGAAGCGTGGTTGGTCTACTAATCTCGTCCATTGTTCACAGCGCTACTGATGAGGATTGGTCCAACAACTGCAATTGATCTGATCGATTCTAAGGGCGCTACAGAGCGGGTGAGTACGCCATTGACTAAATTTGAAGCGCTTATCCACTAATCTTTGACAAAATTATTAAAATAAAATAGTTCAATACCCGGATTCACTAACGATGATTAATATTAATCATTGATTAAAAATATTAGAATGTTAGCCACCATATGTTTCCCATTCTAATATTTTTATTCAGTGATTAACCTTAATCATCATTTGTGAAACCGGGCATTATTCAAGACTCTTAGTTAACACTAATTTGAAAATACTTGGTTTCAGTTTGCCTGTGACCCCGGAACGTAAACAAACCGCGCGTATTTCGTCCCTTTTGCGGTTAGTAGTGCATCCTTGGAGAGACCGTATTAATAAGGCTAAGGGTAAGTTTTAACTTCCAAGTTGGGGCACGTGTTAGAATGGTCACAACAATTAAATATAAAAATAGAGTGAAGGCGTGATTCTTTTGTTTTTAATTCAGCGGTTTGGGTTCCTAGTTCCTTAGAGTCAAATCCTGTTTTAGCGTACATAAACAATAACTATAAATAACGATTCGATTGTGCATTTTTTTTAACGCACTTGTGTTTTTTGTTTCAGATTCGAGAAGGGCAGCCTTATAAAGGTAGGATTTTTCTTTTTTTGTGCATGCTCTATTGCATCTGTATTATGTATATGTAACAGTGGGGGAAAGTGAATAGTGTTCAGTGACTAAATGAAGATCATCGTTTAAACATTTCTTCGAATGTGGTACTAAATGAGTTGTGTCCATATTCTCAGCATCTTGGTGATGTGAATTGATCGCAATTATTCTTGGAGTAACTTTACATAAAAGAAAAAGAACTATTGCGGTCTGTTCTTGCGCACCCTAGGTGCTTTGAAGATGGCCATAACTCATTTATTAGACCAAAGGCTGGTTTTTCACATGTCAGTTGAACTTTTCCAACAGTTGATTCCCATGTAAAAAAAGGAGTTATATTGGATCAGTTTAACTGAAACATGTAAAACCGGCTATGAGATCAAGAAGGTAAGTGAGTTGAGACATGACAAGCTTATTCGGTTTTTTTCTCATCTTAATTTTACGCGGATAAAGAGTACATTTTCAATTAATGCGCGACTAAGACTTAAGTGTCTCTTTGACGGAACATGTTCAGGTTAATTTATTAATCTTACTTTCTCCAATTGTTCGCAGTGCCAGTGGCGGACCTACTGCAAAACGGAACGCGAACCTGGATCTACACTCGTGAGGATTTTCTCGACAACGCCAGTGATGGATCGCATCCAAGTTCCCTTCAATCGTATTGATTAATCGCATGGGCACAGTTCAAACAAACGAGGTATGTACGCCACTGTCTTTAACATAGATCGATTTGATCATTTCTTATTATTATGCGCCTGTAAAACATGACGTGAATCGTTATCTTTATACAGTGCGTTGAAGATAAGAGGGTCATCTCAATATCTTTTTTACTAGGCGAGATAGGAAAAATACCTATGTAATGTGACATTACGATGAAGAGTACATTTTCAATTAATGCACGAATAAGATTTAAGTGTCTTTTTTGAAGGAACATGTTCAGGTTAGTGTACTAATCTTATTTTCTCCAATTGTTCGCAGTTCCTGAGTACATCTACACTCGTGAGGATTTTCTCTACAACTTCAGATGATGGATCGATAATCAGTTCCTCAAATTCTCTTCGATCTTGTTGATCTGGGCATAGCTTAAATAAACGAGGTAGGCACGCCACTGTCTTTTAAATAAATCAATTTAAACGTGTCGTTAATATGCGTCTAGAACAAATCCCTAAAAAACTTTTCCATGACAATGTAAAATGCCTCTACCTTATTAGGCGACCATAAGGAATAAGAAAATAGTAGATTCTACATCTAGCACGCTATGAAAATTCTGATAACAAATTCACATTTTCCGACAAAAAGTGCATTACGGTGACTGTATGTTTGTAACCGTTTAAGCTGGGAAAAGTGAAAACGAAATTTGACATTTTCGGTTGTTCGGTGATATCTCAGTTATTTTCAAAGATTTTTGCCATTTGTTGGGCTCTACAAGACACCGTTGGGAGATTTTTAATATGTGTCGTTTCGGAGAAGTCTTCAGCAACTTTACTTTTTTATATAGCCCGTAAAAAAGTACATACTGTATTGAGTATCATTTTTATTACGAATATACCACACACAAAAAAACAAAAATTGGAAACCGTCGGTTTCAACAGGATGGTGCACCCGCGCACAAGCCCTAATCACCTGAGGATACCTATCGGACACATTTTCCACTTTCAAGGAAATTTGTCCACTATGTATTCTCACAGGATTAGGATGTTGTGCGCGAGTGCACCATCCTGTTGAAACCAAAAAGATTGCCATCGTTTGTTTTTTTTTGTCTCGTACATTGTATTCGAAATTACTCAATACCTTTTTTACAGGTCATATATTGTATATTGTCATATGTATTGAAAATCTCGCAACGCATATCTTCGGAAGTCATCGGAATTTTGTTTCTTGTGTTATCTTGCAAAGGTTCATGTCTTGTCTTGCAACTCCATGCAAGTACAAAAATCACTTGTTTGTATGGGTTCTATTTTTGAATACTCTGCGGCACGGCTAAGGGTTTTATCAAGTAATTTAAATGATGTACAATAGTTGAGTTTCGCTTTTATTTGACCATTATTTACAAACATACCATAGAACATATAAAAATTGATTTGATTGAGATATTCTATGACAAAGGCTGATGGTTACACTTATTTTGGTAACAACTACTACAGTTACGTTTGTTGTCAATGGAACTACATCCAGAACCAGCACATGTTCTTACAGTATGCGAATTTGGGGTATTAACGTACATAATACAGTCGCTATTGCAATAGATGAAGGGTGCGTTGCCCCTTTGCTGTCTCCTGCAGGCGGTCGCATCATCGCATGAGTAGCAATATTTCGCTGTTTATTTTTATCAATTTTGTAATGTCAATTTCAAACAAATTGAGCAAACTTACCTGCATCGACGACGTAGCACAAAAGGGCGGTAGCTAACAGAATTTTGACATGCATGTTTCAGAATAACTAAACGATAGCGTCAATCGTCGAATTTATACCTGAGGATGATACAACTTCATAATAGATAAGATTCGAATATCAAAATTGGATTTGATCAAAACACTTAAGAGTGATAGATTTGACACTCAAGTTTTGAAATTAGAGAACGTGGATGAAATAAATATAAATAAACGTGTAAACAAATATAGAAAATGAGCTCCCGGGTATGGCTACAGCATGTGCAAAACAAAATTTTGAAATTGGCGTCAAATTTGCTCTTATTCCAAGTGTCTATGTATCAAATTTCATAAAAATCCCTCCATAAATAAGAAAGTTGGCACTGCGCATGCGTAAAACCAAAATTCAGAAACTGGCGTTACATTTGCTTTTTTTTCAAATGTCTATGTATCAAATTTCATTTAAATCCGTTTATAAATAAGAAAGTTTGCAATCCGGTTTGTAAATGGTCGAGATCCGAAAAGGGCACTGTGAATGTTGATCGATTAGGCTCAACTTTTGGAATTGCGTTTTATATGGCTAAAACTATACGCATATTGAATTTCATTCAATTCGGTTCATAACTCACAGAGATGTCAAAAGGACCTTCCTTATTTTTTGGGCTATATTGCCAATTCACGAATTTAATAATAATAATCATGTCTTTTATTAGCTACATTTCAACTGAATCCATACATATATAAAGTACAAAAAATATACAACAACATTCTGTGTGCTGAGTAGCTAATTGGGCGAAGTTCGATCTACAAATTTGATAAAGAATCCACCTGCAAAATTTCATCGTAATCGGGGGGGGGGGGGGGTCCATTCGTAGATATCGTGCAAACGGACAGACGGGCAGACGGACAGACACCGCAAAATTATAAACTCGCTAGGAGCTCGTTAATAAAATCTTCCCTTCGACTATGAGTATGACGTATGCCTCATGCAGAGATAGGTAACGATTATTAACGAGCGATCCAGCTCGACCATGCTTTCTGTCTGTCCGTCCGTCCGTCTGTGTGCATGATAACTCGCGAACGGTTTCGAAATTTACAATTCTGTTGTCGGTATGATTAATTTATGACCATTTGGACTTTCTGTCCGTCCGTCTGTATTTGTCGCTTCAGTTCATAGCTACTTACTCTCGACTTGAACCAAAGAGTAGGTAGTATGGGTACTCTTTGCAATGAATGAAAATATTTTAATTAATTTTTAAGTGAGTAAAGCGGTCCATACATCTTCAAGTCGGCATAAAACGTTCGTCACTACAGGCAATGTTTGTTCAATGCCTCTCCCAACTTCGACACCCATACAGAATCCAATTTCTGGGGTCCGTTAACTTGGCCCCCCCACTGAGAGATTTGATAGTCGTATTATGTTAAAATGAATGCGCTCATATGCGCCACCGATAATAACTCTTGCGCCATTATCGTTTTTTAGAAATTCGAAAAAACATTAAGGAGGGGGCTAGTGACCCTAGCCCCCCCCCCCCCCCCCAGTACGTATCTGTCACTTGTAACTAGCTCACCTGATACATTTGGTTATGCGCTCAATTACCCCACTTGAATTAAAGCTAGCGCCATTACGGCTAAGCCGTGACAAATTTTCACAAAGCGGGGGGGGGGGGGCAACTTAACGTTTTTAAAAGTTACTTTTTTTAAACATCTTTTCATACGAAATTGTTCTCTCAGGTATGCGCTGAAATGCGCCGTAAAAATATATCTTTGCGCCATTATTGTTTTTTGGTTATCCTTAAATATATTTGGGAGGGGCCAAGTGAACGGAATCCTCCATAACGCATTTTGCTACCGGTATTTGTGCCACTTGATACATCTGGTTATGAGCTCAATTGCGCCACTTGAATTAAAGCTAGCGCCATTACGGTTAAGCAAAAAAAAATTTTTAAAAAGTGGAGGGTCTAACTAAGCGTTTTCAAAAGTTATTTCCGGAAGTGCGTCCATTTTGAAAATATTTTACATCGATTCGGCCTTCGGAGTAACTCCTAAATACAAATTTTTAAAAACCTACCTATTTTACTTTCTCAGAATCGTTTAACTAAAGCTCCCAAAAAAACACCCTGTATAGTGTTTCTGAAACCCTATAATGGCGCCAAGATTTTTGTTTACGGCGCATTTTAGCGCACGATGAAAGGTACGATGAAGTAGAAAAAACATGTTAAAAAACGGTAACGGCGCAATTGAGCTCATAACCAGATGTATCAAGTGGCACAAATACCGGTAGCAAAATGCGTTATGGGGGATTCCGTTCACTTGGCCCCCCCCCCAAATATATTTAAGGATAACCAAAAAACAATAATGGCGCAAAGATATCTTTTTACGGCGCATTTCAGCGCATACCTGAGAGTACAATTTCGTATGAAAAGATGTTAAAAAAAAGTAACTTTTAAAAACGTTCAGTGGGCCCCCCCCCACTTTTTGAAAATGTGTCACGGCTTAACTGTAATGGCGCTAGCTTTAATTCAAGTGGCGCAATTGAGCGCATAACCAAATGTATCAGGTGACCTAGTTACAAGGGACAAAATACGTACTTGGGGGGAGGGGGGGGGGGCTACGTTCACTTGGCCCTCCCAAATGTTTTTTCGGATTTCTAAAAAACGATAATGGCGCAAGAGTTATTATCGGTGGCGCATATGAGCGCTTAACGAGCGCATTCATTTCAAAATAATACGACTATGAAATCTCTCAGTGGGGGGGCCAAGTTAACGGACCCCATTCTTATATTGGATACAGTGTACATACGGTATGAGGTTATTCGGATTTAATTGATATTGTTGTAAACGGTTCCATTTTTGAAAACTTTGCGGACAGGGTTTTATCAAGTAATTTAAGATATGTACAATATCAAAGTTTTTTTTATTTGTCCATAATTTACAAACATAAATATAGAACATACGGAAATTGATATAGTTACCTTGTAATTAAATTACAAAACAACTGACAGAGTCGTTCTACTAGATAGACAAAGGCTGGTGATTACAATAATTTCCGCTACAAATAGTACAACTACGTTTGTTGCCACAATATGCATTGTCTCCCTGAGCACAATCTCTTACAGTATGTCTATTATCGCGATTAACGTACATAATGCAGTTGCTATTGCAATACCTGAAGTCTGTGTGGCCACTTTGCTGTCCTCGGCAGGAGGCACTATTACTATCACATCTGTAGCAATATTTCGCTGCGAATGCAATTTTGTAATGTCAGTTTTAAACAAATTGAGCAAACTTACCTGCATCGACGACGTAGCACAAAAGTACGCTAGCTAACAGAATTTTGAAATGCATGTTTCAGAATAACTAAACGGTAGCGTCAATCGTCGAATTTATACCTGAGGACGAAGGATGCAACTTCATAATAGATTAGATTCGAATATCAGAGCTGATTAATTATATGATCAAAACACTTAAAGTGACGCTCAAGTTTTGAATGCACGTGGCTGAAATAAACTTGATACGTTTAGTACTGTCGTGGGGATCAGAGTTGGACTGGGTCACCTGGGTCACTGAATTAAACTGGGTCGCTGGGTCACGTCATACTCTCTTCAGTTAGATCCGGTGACCCAGTTTGACCAAGTTTGACCCAGCGACCCAATTTCACCCGGGGACCCAATTTGACCCAGTAACCTAGTTTGATCGAATAACGCAGTTAAGTCAGTGACCTCGGT